AGTGATCCTCTTCTTTTTAGCCTCCCCAGTGCTGGAATTATAGGTGTGCATCATCATGCCCACACTCAGTTGCTGGTTTTTTTAATTTTAATTTTAATTTTTTTGTGGAACGCTTTTTTTTTTTTTTTTTTTTTTTGTGGTTGCCGGTGTTGCAGGACAGGGGCTCCAACCCTGGTCCTTGTGCTTGCCAAACAGATGCTTAGTCTGCTGAGCTATCTTGCCAGCCCTTTTTACCTGGGTCTAATTTCTTTTTAAATTCATTTTTAATCTTTTTTAATGGATGTTTTAGTTTTCACTATGGTCCTAATCTATCTTTCTTTTCCTTTTTTTATTTTTTTTTTTATTTTTTTAATGGTTTTGGGGAATCAAACGGGACCTGTGCTTGTCAGCAGGCGCTTATGACACTTAGCTATCTCCCTGGCCCTGTCCTGCTAAATTGCCCTGACTCGGCTCCAGTTCATGATCCTTCTGCCTTAGCCTTCCTAGTGCAGGAATTATGGGTGAGCACCACTGAGCCTAGAGAAAACAATGTAAAGTCCACTGCATAGAGAAAATAAATACTTTTAAAATAAGTTATCTTTAGATTTTTGTCTGGGTTTCTGGTATGGCTTACTTTTTGAGTATTTAGTTTCTATTTCTTGTACTCTTTTCTTTTCCTTTCTTTCTTTCTTTCTTTCTTTCTTTCTTTCTTTCTTTCTTTCTTTCTTTCTTTCTCTTTTTGGCATTGGAGATAGAATACAGGGCCTAGTACAGTGATGGTGAATCTTTCTCTTAGAGCTTTCAATGACACAGACATCCCACTGTAGGGCACGAATCCTACTGAGGGGCCGGGGAGGTGGCTCAGTAGAATAAGCGCTTGCCTGGCAAGTGCAAGGGCCTGAGTTCAATCCCTGGTCCCACCAAAAAAAAAAAAAAAAAGAAAGAAAGAAAAAGAATCCTACTGAATTGTCTCTTTTTTTGTTGTTGCTGGCTCAGCCTGCCCTGGGGGCAGGGCGGCTCAGTTTGTGGTGCCAGAGATTAGGATTGAACCAGGGTCCCTGAGCTTTGCCTAAGCAAGTGCTTTAGACTGCTGAGTTATCTCACTAGTGGCCCCCCACCCCTGTTCCTTCCATTGCCTCTTTAGTGCACTTTGTTTTTGGTTCTTGAGGCACAGTGTAGTGGATTGCCAACTGGTGTTTAACTTGTTTCATCCAGCTGAATTGAACTAGCATGGTGCTGGGTGTGGGAGGCCCACCTGAGGAGCGTTGCCAGGAGCCTAAGAGGAAGAACTAGAGAAGCTATGGAGAGGCTGCTAGGGAAGCTGTTTGGGAAGCTGCTGCTTGTCTTGGGTTATTCGGTTGGAGAACCTTGTCATGTGGGCTATCCTGATGAACTTGACTGTTTTTGTCATTGGAGGAGCTTGGGACCTTGTCGTTGCTGGGAATGGCTACTGTTCGTTTTGGTGTAGCTCTCATCCTCATCACTTCCTGGCTCCAGAGGGGAACATGGTGCACTGCTCAGCCTCATGGAGAAGTTTATCACATTGGCTTTCCTGATGGGAACTCAGCTTTATTTATCACTGGAGGAGCTCAGGACCTCACTGTTGCTGAGGATGGCTATGGTATTTTTGGGGGGAGCTCTCGTTCTTACCTTGATCGCTGCTTCTTGGCTCCAGTTTAGAGCCTTCAGCCTGCCAGCATAGATCCTTCTTCCCACTGGCACAGACTTTCTAGCTTTCACCACTGACCTTTGGGTCTTGCCATCGCAGATTCGTGAAGCAGGACTGCATGAGACGTTATTGTGGGCTCTAGGTCTACAGCTGGACTCATGTAGGCTATTAGGATCCAGGCCCTCAGCTGGATTCTTTGGTCTTTAGTGTGTAGACAGATTCCTGCACTCTTTGTATATGATTCTTTGGGGGATTATAAAATAATCATAAAATATGTCCTGTATTGTATTGTTCCCCTTACAAAAACCCCAAACCATGTTGTAGAATTTCACTATTTACTCCAGGCTGGCCTTGAACTCTTGTTGAGCCTTTTGCCTCGAGTGCTGGGATTAAAGGCCTGTGGCAGCAAGCCCGGCAACCCATCTTCTTTGTATGTAATTCATAATGAAGATTAAAAGCTATTTTGTAAACTTTATTTTCTCTAGCACATAGTACACTATGAAAACCAGGCAATCTTCTCAAACCTTTTTTAAACCTTCTTTCATCAGCGATATTTCTTTCTCCCTCTCCATTTGTAGTTCATTATGTATCTCTGGGATCCTTATCTGTCTGAGGCTTCCCTATATCCCTGCTTGGATTAACTGGTCTCTGCCTAATCCTTTTTATCACACTGCATTGCAGTTTTGTGGTTTCTTGCCTATTTCTTTTCTTCATGTCTATCAGCTCTTTAAGGACCAGAACTTCCTTTTCCTTTTCCTTTTTAAATCTATTTCTGGGTCTAGCAGAGTACTTAACACCACTTGGGCTTAAAATAAAATAAACACCGGGTGTGGTGGTGTATGCCTGCACTGCATAGTGAGATCCTGTCTCAAACGGTGCAAGTTATAGTGATCAAAAAACTAACCTGGCCTTCTTAATTTAGGGCTATTTTTTAATTTTATTTTTATATCTTGGGACAGGGTCTAACTGCCCAGATCAGACTTGTAGTGATCTTCCTGTTTACAGCCTCCCAAGTGCTGGGATTACAGGCGCGTGCCACCATGTCTAGTCTCAATTGCTATCTCAGCGTGCCCCAGGGGCGGAGCTGGCACAGAAGTTCTGGGGATCGAAATCTTGACCCCTGCATGTGCCTAGGCAGGCGCTTTAATCTGCTGAGCTATTTGGCCGGACCTTAATTTAGTGCTATTAAAAACAAACAGAAAATGCCAGATGTGGTGGCTCACACCTGTAATTCTAGCAGCACTTGGGGAAGGCAGGAGGATTGCTGAGAGTTTGAGGCCAACTTGAGCTACATAGTGAGACCCTGTCTCGACAAGCAAAACAAGCAACAGAAAAACAAACTCTTTGTGCAGTCATTTTCACATCATGTATATCCGTTCGATACTTCTTGCTCTATTAGAGCCAGCTTGTTTTCTGTAGGAAATAAAATTTTTTTTTTCTGTTCAGTGATGTCACTGCTGAAGAATCCAGAAAAACCCAGGACTATTTCCATTATGAGGGAACCTTGAGCACTTGGAGGCTGGCTTAAGTAATAGGTGAAGTGCTGCAGAGTCCCATATGCAAATTATTGTAAGAAGGACTCACCCGCTCCTGTGAATCCCTAGGACTGACTTCCCATAGGGAAAAACCCTTCCCAGCTCTAAAAATTTTTAAAGCAGTGGCCCAAGTTTATTGGAAAAAGTAAAAGTGAAGAGTAGGGGAGAAAGTGGCTCTGAAGAGTGAGCCTGGGCCAAATAAAAGAAGAAAAAGCAAGATAGAATATCCTGGAGGAAGCAGGGTGGGCTATTGTGAGGAAAGCCATGATAGTTTAAGATTTTTTTATTTTTTTGAGCTAGAGTCTCAGGTAGTTTAGGCTGGCCTTGAACTCACTTTGTAGCTTAGGCTGGACTCAGACATAACAGTGATCCTCCTACCTTCTGAGTTCTGGGATCATAGGTGTGTGCCACCATACCCATGGCCTATTTTATTTTTTAATCAGATTTTATTGGTACATTTTAGATATAATGATAACATAATTTGTGCCTATATGTGATATAACTTGATTCTTTTTTTCTCACTTCCCTACCCTCCCTTCAACTCCTTCCCTCCCCATTTATAAAAACTTTCTATTTTTCCTCACTTTTAAGACTTTTCCCTTTATAGTCCCCCTCCCATTCTTGTTCTCCCCACTGAACATCCTTTTCCTATTTCATATTACCTAATAGACATTTGGTCCTTATTTACATTTTCAGTTTCTCACAGCAGATAAAGAATTCGGTATTTACACCTGGGTCTGATTTATTTCACTTAAGAGTATGGTCTCAAGGTGCATCCATTTACCTAGGAATGTCTTAAGGTTATCCCCATGGCAGAATAGTTCTGCATTATATATAAAAAGAACTCACATCTTTATTACTTGGTTGATGAATCTTTGGGCTGTTTCCAGGATTTGGCCATGAACAAACTCTGTCCCTAAAAACATGGGAGTGCATGTATCCCTGTGGTATGATGGCCTAAAATGTTTAACAACTGAGTGTTTGAATGGCTAGAATGGCTAATTTTAATGATTTGTACAGGAATTTCCAGTGTCCAGTTTTCAATAGTGTAGTAAACAGAACTTTGTTCAATAAAGAGGCTATTTCTAATGAACTATGAATTCTTGAGATATAATTCCAAGCTAACAGCTGAGCTTTTCAGATTGTGTGACAATTTGCAAGTTAGAAATTTTGACCTTTGACTTCTGTTTTTTGTCTTTTTAATTGTACTGTAGACAGGGAACAGTGACATTGACAGATACTTAGAAGACTCCGCCTTTTTTTTTTTTTTTTTTTTTAACAACCTTAGATCGGATGGTGTAGGATCCGACCCTGCAGTATTCTGCCCTGGCCTCCCTTTTCATTGTAACCTGACCATAAGCCCGTTGCTGCACAGATTTATTTCATCCCTGTCATGCTAATTTTCACGCCTTGAAAAGCGCAGCTCAAGTTCAGGTTCTCGCGTTTGGTAGCTCTGGTGTTGTAATTCGGCGCCTTGCGTCCTCGGCAGAGGGGCCCTTTCCTTCGCGCCTCTGCAGGTCACACCTTGCTCAGTTCAGGCCACCTGGTGTGGTGGCGGTGTCTGGGGTACTGGGGCCCGATGGGGCGTGAAGCCGGGAGACCAAGCCGCACGCCCGAACTCCCCTGCGGACAGCCTGGCCTTTGCCCATCCCCCAGCCCAGACAGCCGGCTAGACGAAGAGACCATCGAGCTGCCGGCCCAGAGCGGCGCCGCCCGGCTCGCGCGTGACACTGCCGGGGCGGGGCCTGATGGAGGCCGAGGAGTAAAGCGAGCAGCCGGCAAGGGGAGCGCTACCTGTCCTCGCAGCGCCTCGCCGTGGTCGCGTTCGGAAGCGGCCTCGTCTGCCCTGCGGCGCTGGATCCTTGACGCACCGAGCTCGAGAGCGAGAACGAGAGAGAAAGGGTAGAAATGGCGGCTCCACTCGGCTCCCGCTGAGGAGGGTGAAGCCGGCGGAGGGTCTGTGTGGCCGGCTTGCAGGATCGCCCCTGTCTCGCTCCGCCTGCCGTGTCGCGCTGCTTTCCCTTCCTTTGCCCAGCCTTCGCCTGCCCTTGTCCGCGCTCCGGAGGGCCGGTCCGGCTCCTCTCCCGGCCCGCTCGGCTCCGCCAGCCCCGAGTGTCCGGCCGGCGGGTCGCCTTCCTCAGCTCTCCCGGGCGCGGCGCGGCCCCGTCCCCGGGCCGGACCATGGTGAATACCCGGAAGAGCTCCCTGCGGCTTCTCGGCTCCAAGTCTCCTGGGCCCGGGCCTGGGCCTGGGGCCGGAGTAGAGCCTGGGGCGGCTGGAGGCAGCAGCCATTTCATCTCCTCTCGGACCCGCTCCTCCAAGACCCGCGCTGCCAGCTGCCCGGCCGCCAAGGCTGGGGGATGCGGTGGCGCCGGGGTCGCCGCGGACGAGGCCCGGGTAAGAGCGCGGCGCCCGCGTCCCGAGGCTGCAAGCGCCGGCCGGGCCGCCCGGGCTTTGTCTGGCCGGGTTGGGGGCAGGAAGCCTCCAGCGGACGCCGCTCGGGAGGCTGGAGACTGGGTCTGCGGGTGCAGCGAAGGGTGGCACCTGCAGAAGGGTTGCGGCTTCAGCTCTTTTGCTTGGCTGGCCCGGTTCTTTTGTGTAAGGAACAGGGTTTAAGTTCGGGGGAGCGGGCTTGGGGGTCCTTTTCGGGGGCACTAGAACAACCTGCTGTCTGTGTCCTTGTCCTATCTCGGAGGGGAGTTCTAGGGGAATCGAGTGAAGGGCTGGAATCCGGGTGCTGGAAAAGAGAAGTGAAAGTTTTCTCTGGTGTTTCAAACCCTTCTTGAAAGTGTGTCAGCTTCTGCCGCTGTCTTAACTCCAGCTTACTCTCAGTTTGGGGGTGGTTCAAGTTGGTGAGGAAGTGAGCAGCAGAGCTCCAGTTGGCAGGCAGACAGGGATGCTGAAAAAAGTTTGTAGCAGCTCTGACACTAACTTTGAAAACAAAATCAACGCTATCGCCTCTCCAGGCGGGAGAGATCAAATGTGAAACTATACTGGAATAACTAGACTGCTAACCAAGGTTCCAGTAAGACCGGAGCTTTCAGTTCGTACGAGAGTGTCGAAAGAAACTTGACTAATGGGCACCACCATTCCTAAACTGTATGGTTTTTTGGTTGTCTACATTTTTTTTGTTAGAGAAATACTTTACAAAAGGTGAATTAACATTTCATCATACCCTGGCAAAGTGACACTTTAAGAGACAATTAGTGATTTAGTTCTTCCAAAAAATTTTATTTTTGAAATTTTATTACTGACAGTATAAAATGCTAAAAACCTGGGAATAGATTTATCACTTTAAAGATATTGACAAGTTTGTGACAAATTACTACGAGTAATTTGCCTGGAAAATGCAGTTCCTATAAGGTACTCCTTTAAATCCAAACTATTTTGTGTTATTATGGGATGGGAGCAGTAGTTATTCTTTAGAGGTCTACAAGATTGCTGTGTGTGTGTGCTTCTCTTTATGCTGTATCCTATTTTGACACCAATCAGAATGAGTCTCCCTGTAATAGGAATGTTTTACCATACTACTATGAAATACATCTTTGAAAATAGCTGCTGCCCTTTATTTGCTAAAAATGTAGAAAGTATTTTTTTTAAAAAAACATTGTATGTAATAGACTAGAAACTTGCAAATCCTGAAGGTGAAATGAGGAAGCCAAAGCTGAAAGTTGTGCAAGCTGTTTAGAATGAGTAGTAACACTAAACTTTCTGTAGAAATACTCTTTTAAACATATGCAAGTTTATTAACTTACTGATGCTTTCATATGTTAAAATAACTTTTTTTAAGGTCTGCTCTATACAGTTGAGTCAAATAAAATATTTAGAGTGTAAGCACATAACTGTATCATGCTATGAATGCCTCGTCTATTAGAGCAGTGTCAAGCTCATCTAAAACAATTAGCTCATCTCTCTGTGATCAGTTTGTGGTCCCATTTTGAGTTCATGGATACCATGCTGTCTTTACCCCTGAGGAATAAGGTGAAGTAATTTGTCAAGCAGCTATTAGGGAGATGTTGAAAGGCAAGGAATCAATAATCTTGGGTAGAGATGAACATTTGGTAGCTTTTAAATTGCTAGAATGAAAAATATTAGAGCTCTTTCTAGAATATGATAATGAAATGTTTTTAAGATCCCTTTTTAAATGTTTTAAAAGCCTATAACAGGCTACTAAAGATTAATTCTGAAATACTTTGGACTTTAAAAATATTTGTGCTATGACTTTAGTAAATGATGAAATGATTTAGTTGTTCCCTTAGTTATTAGAGACTTAGATTGGAACTTTAGGACAGTTGAGTTATAATTTTGAATTTAAGTATGTATATATATATATTCTTTGAAGTGAATTGATTTGAGCGTGGTTAGTACTTCCTCTCTAGATTTGTTACAGGAATTTAGCACTTCTGGCTCTCACCCTTTCCTGATTTCGGTTCCTTTGGGTAAATATCTAGAAGTGAGATTACTGGTTCTGTTTTTATTTTGTTTGTGGAGGATTCTTCATAGTATTTTTTCTTTCTTTTTAAAATTTTATGTATTTGGTACAGGGTCTCACTGTGTAGCTCGGGCTCGTAGTGGTCCTCCTATTTCAGCCTCCCCAGCCCTGGGATTACAGGCACACACCACCACATCAGGTCTTGGTGGCCAGCAGGGCATGTGCTATTGGGGATCGAACCTGGATCCTTGTGCTTGACTAGGCAGGTGCTTAGATTGCTGAGTTATCTCCGTGGCCCTCTTCATACTATTTTTCCATGATAGTTGTATCATTTTGAAATTTATTATTGTATTTTTCAAGCTTAGATTTTTCAGACTGTGGTCTTTATTCTCATTGTTTGATTGTGATAAATTTATTTTCATTATTTCTTCAATTTTTACTTTTTTTGGAGGGAGATTTGAGGCTGGCTTCAAGCTTACATTGATTCTCCTATGTCAGCCTCCTGAGTGCTGTGATTACAGGCATGTGTCACTGTACACATGCCTCCTGAGTGCTTGTTTTTCATAGTATTTTCTTTACATTCTTCATTCTTTCATATGGCTTAGCTTAATGGCTTTCTTTCTTTTTTGCATAATGGTTTTCTAATACTGTACTTTAATGTATCATATAATTCTTTAACCTTTTTCTGTGGGTATGCAGATTGTCTATGTGATTTTAGCATTATAAATAATTAGAAAGTGACCTTATTTAAAGGAAATGATATTATTAGGTCAAAGAGTTGTATTAAGTTTTTATAGATTGTGTGCTACAAAGAGGCTGAAGAAGTATCTCCTACTTTCCCACACTTGTAACATTGTGAAGTTTTTATACTATTAGGATTGATTTAGGATGTTAGGTTTGAACTTGCTGGAAAGGGCAGGACTGCATTGTTACTAAGTATCTTTAGTATCTGACACATAGAGTCTTAAAAAATGTTTATAGAAGGAATGAATCACTGAAATTAATGAGATTATGAAATAATGTTACTCCTACTAAACCTAGTAAGTATCTGTATCTGAGTTTATATCCAATGTCAGGTGATAGGTGCAATATTTGTTATATTACTTCGTTGACTTTTCCAACAATTTTAGCAGATAGTTTTTTTTTTCCTCCCCCGGAACTGGGGATTGAACTCAGGCCCTTGCGCTTGCCAGGGAAGCACTTATTCCACTGAGCCATCTCCCTGGCCCCACGATAGTTTCTTTTTTTTTAGGTAAATACTTTATAAGTCATAGTGATTGTGCTGTACCGTGGGATTGTTTATTTATCTTCCAAGTATGTGACATTTTTCAGTATTCACATTTTCTTTTTCATTTTAAGTAATGTAATATTTTTAAGTTAAAAGCGAAAACTAGGGAGTGTGGTGGCACACACCTGTGTAATCCCAGTACTTGGGAGGCTGAGGCATGAGGATCACTGAGTTCGTGGCCAGCCTGGATTTACAAAGTGAGCTCAAGTGACAAGATTCAGTTAGAGTGAGTTGGAGACCAGCTTGAAGTACCTAATGATCCTTGCCTCCCAAGGCAAGAACTACCTTTCAGGTATTTTTATTTTTGTTTTTATTTTTGAGATAAGCTGGCCATGAACCTTGATCATCCTGCCTGATCCCAAGTGCTGGGATTACAGGCAAGCACCACCTGATTTTTAATTTGGAGGAAAAGTACATTTTAAGTTATCAGTAGGAACATGTACTAATAAAAATGGGGGGGGGCTGAACTGAAAACAAATTGAACAATAAATGCCCTCAGTACCCTTGAAACTTTAAAAAATAAATAAAAAATAATTTGTAGGCTCTTTTAAAACTTTTTATGACTTCTTAGCCATCTGATTGCTTACTTTTTTTTTTTTTTTTTTCCACTTCTGTGTTTCCTGATGATTGTTCAGAAATACTAAACCAGTAAACTTGCTTGCTCTTGGGGATATTTACAGAAAATTTAGGGCATTTTTTGTTTCAAGATTTTGTAGAATTATATTGGTTCTGGATAAGTAAATAGCATTCTGAGTTTGTTTTCTGAAGCCATGGTAACTGCTGTGTCTCTCATTCTTTGATAAATGAAAGGAAAAGAAATAGACTGCACCTCTAAGCTTTCTCATGGAAACCAAAGTACTGGTTTAAAAAAAAAGTAGACAAAAAGGCTGTCTTGGTAAGGAAATTGGAAAAGATTGACTATACTCTTACACTTTCTAACCTAGCTTAGGGGAAGTGTTGTTTTCTTTTCTCTCTTTAGTCTTTGAGGATTTTTTCTCATCAGTTTTCTATTTATTCAAAAATTTGCATCTATCTATGTACCTGCCTACCTACCTATCTACATGCCTGTCACATCTCTATATTGCCTAGGTTGGCCTGGAACCTGAGATGCCCCTGCATCGTTTTTCTAAGTAGCTGGGATTACACACAAAAGCCACTGCATCTGGCTTAAAATTTTTGTTTTATTCTCTTCTGTGCTCAGTGGTTTCTTTGCTTTGGTTACAAGAAATCAGATTCTTACTGTTTTAAAAAAATAAAATTGGATCTCTGTTACTGGAGGGGGAGATTTCCTATCTCCCACTTTGTTAAACTTCTTTTCTTTCACTGTCTCTGGTGTGTTTCTTTGTGCCTCCCCTCTCCTCCCCTCCTCTCCCCTTTCTTCCTTATTTTATAGTATTGGAGAATGAACCCAGGGCTTTCACACTGGGCTGCCTCACTAGAAATTTTATTTTTTATTACAGACAATGTCTTGTTAAATTTCCCAGTTTGAGCTTGAGCTTGCTGTCCTGCCTCATCCTTACAGAGTGCTGGCGTCACATGTGTGCATACCATACCATTTCCCCTTGCATGTCAGATTTGTTTCTTAATTCTGATTCATCTTAATGAAGAGTGGCTCTGCAAGCATTACCTGTAGTTGGTCTCCACCCACTGTGTTCTTAGTAATTTCCACCCAGCTTT